TTCCCTACAGATTAAAAACGTAAGCGCTGCTGTAGGCACTTGGGGCTCAAAAAGATATTTAAGCATGTCGAGGATAGGCAGAAATTGGCCCACGTTCTCAACATGTGACAGTGCCTCGTATCCCAAAGGCCAGACCTGTGCCCTACTCCACTGAGAAGTGTTTTTGGTGAAGGTCGGTCAGTCGGGCAGCTGCGTTCGTGGAGCAAAGAGGAGTCCGAACACAGCTGAGGAGGGAGACCGAATTGAATCGCTGCATTCTTTCCGGGGCTAGAAGTGTTGATCCTGCATCTATTTGGATTAGAAAACAAAACATGACTAGAGTTGTGTTTAACTTGGGAGTGTATTTATGCTGTCTGTGCCCTTGGGCTTAACTATGTGAAGGATGAGCTTGATGCTGCAGTGCGCTGTCCTTTACTAGCACGGAATACCAGTATTGCAGGGACTGCAAGAAAGGGTCGTCTGAGAGACAGACTGGAGTAGTTGCAGCTTACTGTGCTGGTACATCATATGCCATCATGGGAGTTACTTTTGCATAACGCTTGCATGTTTCTAGATGACGTCTCCTGACTTTTTGTGCATAAAGCATAATTTGCTACTCCACACGACGGGCAGAATACAGTGGCCTTAAAATGAAAAACAGATGGTGGAGTAGGTCATTGGGACAGTTAAGTCATTATTTTAGAAATAACTAAACATTCTGGCCTTCCGTTCAGCGTGGAGCATTTGAAATTAACCCAAAGAGCAAGTCAGACTGAAGAGTAGGCCTTCCTGGCTGGAGGGTAGCAGTAGTGCTCCTTTCCACGTCTAACGTTTTATCATTTCTTATGGAGAGCGATGACTGCTAAATGAAAATGATCTTGGCTCAGAATGGAAAAGGCATCTTCCTGTTCTGACAACAGCAGCTTATGCTTTCAGTCTTCACGGAGATTAGTCGTACTACCTGTGTTGCTGCAGAATCTTACAAAAGCTGCTTATTTTTGGATTGTGGTTTGAAGGGCTTACTTTCGTGTGGCTATTGACTGACTAAGCTAGTTAAGATGGTGATCTGAAATGGAGCGCTCCTGTCTATACTCAGCACAGAGTGCTGGCTAAGATACGCTGGTTCAGCCTTTAGATTTAAAAGGGGCTTCTTTCTGCGTAAACGGCGTCAAGTTGTTCTTGTTTCCCAATGGGCTCTATCTTATTTCAGGAGGTTAAAAAGAAGTTGGAAACAGCAGCTAATAACACCAAAAGTTGGAAAGATAAAGTAGCTCATCACGAGGGACTAATTCGACTAATAGAGCCAGGTACGTCATCAAAAATCACAAATTAATCTTGTACTCATTCTGTCTCGTACAGTTTAGATTACCTAGTGATACGCTAAGTCTGCCGCTTCCTGTAATTTACTGGTTTCGCTGCAGCCTAAAAAACATTACTTTTGTCAAAACTGCTGATTGTAATAGGATTTCTTTCCAAGTACTACAATTGTCAGTTTTCCAAACGCCGCATTCAGAACCTCAGCGGAATGAGGCAAAACAGATGTCTGTGCAATAACACCCTCAAAATCCGGTGTGTGCAATACAGGACCAGCGCCAAAGGACCTTGGCTGATTAGATTAGTGCCGCTGAGGACTGGTCCTGTTTGAAATAGATTAGCAACGATGGGAGCAAATACAGGCTCTTACTTGCTCACGAGGAAGAGGACTAGGAAAGCCTGATACTTATGGTGGTGTGTCGAAATCGGAACAAAGTTTAAAAACTGGAAACTGTGAGGTCTTTACCTTCACTGGCCCTACTGTAAGTTTTTTGTTTTTTTTGTTTTTATTAAAAACCCAAATCAAGACGCCAGCTGACCGTGGCGTGTTTGGGTGTTTCATGTAGTTAGCTTAAATACTGATTGCCAAAAAGAAGTAAAGACACCTTAAAAAACGGTCTTGATTTTTAGGAAAACCTTAATTTCTTTACCTGCATAATATGGCAGCTCAGAGGAAAATAGCTTTGTACTGCAGTTGATGGACATTTCCTTCAGGGGTGTCTGTAAAGGCAAGAAGGAGGGGGCGGTTACTAAGGCACAGCTGTTTTGGAGAAGAGGTGGGAGATACAAAGACTGCAGCAGTTCAGAACTTCTCACATGAATCGTCTTCGCTGACTTTGTCTCAGGCACTGCTCCCTCCTTGGTTATGTGGGTCCCTCAGGCCACTCTTGAGAGAGTTCCCAATCACAAAAGACACAGCACTTTCCAAATAATTCTGTAGTGACACTCAGCCTGTTCCACTGAGGGTATATGTGAGCAATGCTCAGTTGGAAATGTCCTGTTTTAAGTATTGTACTCTGTCTTCCAGGCTCCAAGAATCCTCACTTAATCACAAACTGGGGTCCAGCAGCCTTCACTGAAGCTGAACTTCAGCAAAGACAAAAGAGCTGGAAGGGGAAAAAGGCCGCTTCTGAGTAACAACAACGGTGGATGGTCGTTGAAATACCATTCGCAAACAGAAGCCCACCTTTGTTCTTTCTGCTTCGCACGGAACAGCTTGCTTATTTGCTTATGCAGATCTCAGTTTACTCAGCAGGTTGGGCCTTTTTACAAAGGAAATACTATTTACCACATAGGAGTATCTGTTCAGAGCTTGATTATTATAATACGTGGTGTTTGACAATACTCGCTGTTTTCCCTCACATTTCTAGAATTCTTCTATAGAGAACTTGTCAACGGAAAATTTTTATTTAACTGTAGCGTCTGACAGAGTTGTTCCTATGCTAGCTTGTAACAATCTGACAGCATCTAATCCATCAGGCAGTGTCACTTTCGAAAAATGAGGGAAGCAGTTGTTACATTGGTTCAGTTAGTTGGTATAATTTAAACCCAGGATCAATTACTTCTGAAGTTTCCGAACAACTCTGAGATATAAAGCATTACCTTTCTTTCCACTGAGTCGTCTTTTGTTTTTTCTCTGCCTGTTGCTCTTTACATGGTGGGGTTAGTGCTCAAATATGTTCTTCCTTAGTGAGGGGCAGACTGGCACCAGCGGGTGCCAGTTGCTGCTGACCAGCTTGTCTGGTTTCATGTCCTGTTTTCATCTGTTTGCAGGAATCCAGACAAAAGAATTGTAAATAAGCATGTGCAAAATGCTGCCATAAAGCATTTGGAAAAAGCAGTGATGCAAGATTTTCCTTGCACTGCTCCGTACTTGGGAAGTGCTTTTTTTTTTTTTTTTAAAAAAAAAAGGGAAGAAGAAGAAGAAGAAAAAAAAGGGAGAGCACCTTGAAAACCATATGCTTTCCATTCGTCCTTTAAAAGTTGCAAAATTTTGACTTACAGATTTCTGGAGAGGATGAATGGAAGATGATAGCACATACAGGCCAAGTATCATCTGTATCAAAGCTGTGTTTATACAAGAAATCTGATTATAACATGCCTGTGTTTAGATGCAGCATTCCGTCTTGTCTTATTCTTCACTGGAGCACAGATTCTGGAAAAAGTAGTAATACAAGAAGAAAACTAAATTTCACATTTTTATGAGATGAAAAACGACAAATAGGTAGCAGTACTGCTTTAGAAAAAAAGTACTTGGTGTCAATGAAGTGATTTCAGTATTTCTAGTAACTAAAGCATTCCAAAAAGCCTGCTTACTGCTTTTCCTCAAAATTCTCTCTAGGGAAAAGCCAGTTACTTCTGTTTCTTTAGGGAACGGGAACAAGTGTGATTTCGCTTTGCAGAAGTTCTACACCAGAGAAGTCAGTCTACTGCTAAGTGAAATAATGCTCATGCTAAACTGCACAGACATTTTGAGAAATGAGATCCCTTGTGAGCAGCAGGTGCCCAGCGGCGTAGCTTGTTAGTCAGCTTTGACCTTTGTATGTACACCAAACATGTACACTGAGCTTTGAGCACTTAGCTGAACTAACAAGTAAGTGTTAAATTATTTTCAGTAAATATGAAGTGAATGTTTAAGACAGATAACCAGGACCTGTGTCCAGCGCTGTGATACTCGGATCTCAGAAGAGCAGAAGCAGCAGTACAAAGCTGATCTTCAGATGTGAAAGGCAATAGCATTTTATTTGCCTGTTAATTAAGACTCACTCAAATACTGGATCTTCTCAGACGTTTACTCTCTGCGGTTATATTTTTATACTAATTGAAATTTTTAATGTTTTGGTAAAGAGTGCTCAAGAGGAAATCCAGTATCTTCCTATTTATATTTACTGTACAGGAAAACAGTAGTTCTTTAGCTTGCTAACAAGGCCTTTAAAAAACTGATTTTGTTTACAGAAGAAATGTGAAAAAACTGTAATAGAAATACTAATGGATACATTGTTAACCTTTGCTAAAGGAGATGGAACAGTATTTTTAACTACCCAACACCTTTTTACACGGAAAGCAGAAGGTGTATTGGGCTAAACTCCCCCTCTCCCCCCCAAACAGTCTTTATTTTGGACAACTATTTTTTAAGAACACCAAATGATGCATGTTTTCCTCCTTTTTACTGTTCTTTAGAATTGGCTATTTAATAAAGTAATGCAGAGTCATTTACAAATTAATTACTGGTTCTCTG